TTTTTATTAACATGTTCTTGAAAGTTCATATTTGTATAAATTGACTCTGGCTTCCTTTGGGAGGGAATGATGTTATGGGCTTTGTTTTTATTAAAATAATGAGTTATTTTCATGGTGCTGAGCTACAGTACAAAAATATATTTCTTCTTAGTTTAAGTATGTTTTAAAATTTATGGCTTATTACATGCATCACCTGCAAACCTTTATGTATCCTTTGTGGTACAGCTAAGGTTAAAAGCAAGAACAGTAAAATTATAAATTTTTGTACTGAATATTATAGCATTTCCCATTGAATTTTTCAGCTGCATGAACTATAATTCATTTTAATCTCTAAAAATTCTGTATTGGCCTTGAGTAGCTTCCCTCTGGAAGTTAAATGTTTGGGAGGAAATGAGTGCTGGCAGTTTTTATGTAGCTGTCTTTTATTTTTTTAAAAGGTATAATTCTGTTAGTATTTGTCTGAAGGTGATAGATGTTCAGTTTCTAAAAACTTTTCTAACTTTTGTGTATGTGCACTTCATATACACCTAGTTTTAACTTACAAAGTCAAAAACAGTGACACATGTATTCCCTAAATACTTTAGTTAATTAATTAAATAATTTTTGAGAAGAGGAACTCTATGTTTGTGTTCTGAGAGCTTTGGATTTTGACTTACTAATTGCTGGTACTTGGATGTTCTTTGAGTGAATTCCTGTGCCATTTCGTGCCTGTTCCCTGAATAAAAATTTGAGTGATGGCTTTCGTTTTATTTTTTCCCATTATTTTAGGTATCTGTAGAGCCCAGATTATGGCGTGAATTTGGACTGCTAAGTTTATTGTATGAAATCCTCTGTGTTTAAGCCATCAATCTTTCTCCCCTTTAGATAAAGAGTCCTTTTACTCGCTGATAGATGTCAGTTGGTGGGCAGACGGTGCTGTGACTTTGGCTCGGTGCTCTGGGGCTTTAACTGTTTCCTCCGTGAAAACCTTGAAGAATTTATTGGGAAGATCCTGTGAGTGGTTTGAACCGTCGCCCCAAGTCACTGCTGCCCATGATGGGGGATTTTTAAGTCTGGAGGTAAGGCTTTCTCCTTGTTTAAGGGTAGACATGCATCTCGACCAAACTCTTAGTAGCTAGCTTCTTAGTTGTCTCATGATCTGATATTGTCTTTATAAACAAAAATCTCTGGTTGGAATCAGACATCTGGTGTAACATAAAAAGAAAAATGTCATTGTTTGGTAGTTTTTTTTTTTTAAATTGCATTTTAAGAGAACGAAGAAAAAGCATTTCTTCTTACTGAAATGGTCGATTTCCCCTAAATTAGTCATCTTAAAGTGTGAACTTGTGTGCCCATTTCAGACATTGTCTTCTGTTTAACTTATTTCCTTCAACTGGAATACTAAAGATTTTTGGTTCTTATAGGAAGAAAACTTGTTTATTGTGACAGAAGACTTGAAAATAGAGTTTAGCTTTTTAGTTATGCTTTGGTCATTTAAAATTCTTGCCTTTGAAGAATAAAATACTCAGTAGCTTTTACTTCAGCAACGTAGACTAATACTTTTTAAAGTTTGTCACTGTGTCTAGAGATGTTCTTTAAGAGAAACATGGCTTAGCATGTTAAGCTGACCCTATTAATCCTGGCATGAAAGTTATCTCCAGCAGTCAGGCGTTCAGACTGGTAGAAATTGGTGAAGCTGTTAGACTTTTAAAATGGAATGTAGGAGGACTCTTGGAAAAGCAAATAAATACTTTCACGTCCATTCTCTAATAGGCGAAAAGCACCATCTTATTTTTCTACAGCATACAGCACTATTGAAGGTAAAACAAATTCACATTCTGTGCTCCTTTGTTTAGAATATCACAGGCAGTATTTGCAGCTGCTTTTAGTCTTTGATTCTGCTGGTAATGACAGAATGACATTACTGACAGCTGCTTTTAGTCTTTGATTCTGCTGGCATGGAGCTGCTAATAGGTGCTTTCTGGAGCCCTGGATGAGCATTTTTCACAGGATTCCTTCAGTTTCCAGCCTGAGTCGCTGTCATGAGTCAAAGCAGAGTGGAAATAAAAATGCTGGTTTCATTAACACTGAGAGGTTGACTTAGCTCCTCACTGTATTTCACATCTTCTTTTTCCATCCAGTGTGAGATTAAACTCGCCCCCAAACGCTCTCGTTTGGAGGTGCGAGCAGGAGAGGAGGATGACGGAGAAGAGGATTCTGACTCTGATCACGAAACGTCAGCCAAGGCACGCTACTTTGGTTACGTAAAGCAGGGCCTTTACTTGGTGACAGAGATGGAGCGATTTGCCCCTCCGCGGAAGCGGCCTCGGACCATTACCAAGAACTACCGCCTTGTGAGCCTGCGCTCCACGACCCCAGAGGAGCTCTTCCAGCGGAAGGTGAGGGCACCGCCTGTGCTGGAAGATGGCAGTTTCTTCACTAGAGGAAGGGCTGGGGATGGTGGGTCACTAGCGTGCTGGGTCACTGCTGTGCTAGAGACCAGTGTTATAAAGCTTTTGAAATTGGTGCCAGTGTTTTCACCTGAATAATCGAAACAGGGTCAAGGAAGAATTCGTGCTGGCAGATTACCTGCTTTGGGATTTAGCCTGGCTCTTTGCCACCTGTCTGTGCTTTGATGCTTCCCTTACCTGTGTTTGGCACAGCAGCCTGCTCAGATCCAGATGGTGAGTGCAGGCCTGCTGCCTAGTCAGGAGCTTGCTTGTCCCTCTGTGTGCCCATCCACTGTGCCATTCCTGTGGGCTGGGGGACAAGCCCAGGACTTCTGGCTTGTGGCATTGCTAGCACTGGTTTTGCCATTATTTGACTCTAAGCAAGAGCTATTTCCATGTGACCCTTGTCTTTCTGACTGTTGAATGGCCACTGATTTCATCTGCTCCTCACAGTGTACCCAGGAGTTCACGAATGCCATGTGTCCACAGCTTGTCCTCAGCTGTCCTGTTGTGGATGGCCCTGTGGGTAATTGAGCTGTGTAACACTCCTGTGCATTTCCTTGTCTAAAGATTGAAAGTGAAGAATATGAGGAAGCCTTGTCTTTGGCTCACACCTATGGCCTGGATACGGACCTTGTCTACCAGAGGCAGTGGAGGAAGTCGGCCGTCAACATTGCCTCCATTCAGAATTACCTGGTAATGTGGCGTCTTTTGGCTTGGGTTTCACTTAAGCATTCTGCCGTGAGGGTTTTTCCACAGGTGCCAGAGATTATCTCACTCTGGAATTTGGCTTGTCAGGAGCTAGTTGCTCTGTAGTGGGACTTTGCTGCCAAAACTGTTTGAATGATAGTCACTGATAGACTGAGAATGGCCCAGTCCACTCCCTGTCGCTCCAGGCACTTGCTGCATCCACACTAGGCAAAATCTACTCAGGAGCCTTAGGGACAGTCTCCTTGGTGAGGTCTCTTTGTGACCTTTGAAGGGGTGGAAAGAGCTCTGAGGAAACCCTTGAGCGAAGGAACTTGCCCCTGGAGGGCTTGCACAGGAGGGGAGGCCTCCTCCCCTCAGCTGAGCCTCACCCAGGAAGCAGTTGCAGCACAGCAAGTGTTAGAGAAGATCCAGGTCATCTCTAACGAGGTCCTGGCCACACATGCCCAGGTTGATAGTCAGAGCTGGCAGGGCTAGTGAGGTGCCTCCTGCTAGGGTGCTGTGAGTGGAGCTTGTGGCTGAGAAAATCCCAGGGGTGGCAGCAGGAACCCAGCCACAGCTCAGCTATCAGTCCTCAGGATCTGTAGCCAGGGCCAGCAGGAAGAACCCTCCTCACTGGCCAACGTGATCCTGTGGCTCAGTGGGAAGTGTGGCTATGGGAAGAAAAGTAGATGCTACTGTATGTGTGTGTGTGTACATCTTGTGGCTACTGTGGGTGTGTCCCCAGGCCACTGTGTGTGCATGTGGGTGTCCCTGGGCCTTGCTGCCTGTGTGCCAGGGGAGCAAGAAGAAACCAGTCAGGACTGGAACACTTTGTAGCAGCCACAGTGCCCTCTGTTGACAGCACTGGGTCCCTGTCAGCTGCAGATGAAAAATGTTTTGTGGCTGCTTGGAGGGAGGGGCGCTGGGAACTGAGAAGTGACAGAATAGATAAGCTGCATACCAAACTTGGAAGGACTCCTTTTTACTTAAATCCCACACTGAGGTCCTTCTGGCCGCAGGCCTTCCTTGTTAAAGTTGTCACATAGCCTTGACTGTGTTAGGGTTTCTGTCACATGGAGATCAAAAAAATGGAGCTCCATTGCAGGTTGGCGAGTCCACTCCAAGGTGAAGGCCTGTTTGGTGTCATATTCCAGGTCTGTAGATGAGCTCCTTGGCCCTGTGTCGTGTGTGGCGGTGTCCCAGCTACTCTTGTCTCATTGCCGGGACAAATACCCAACACTCAAAATGAAAGAAGGAAAGGTTTATTTAGCTCACAGTTACTAGAGGTTTCAGTCCATACTCTGCTGGCTCCACAGCAGAGTGGCACATGGCAGAGAGCAACCTTCCATGGTGGTGGCAGAGAGCAAATGGGAGGAGTAGCGGCAGCAGTGGCCACAGAGAGCACGTCTGTCTCCCTTAAGTTGTGTTCAGGCTACTGCCCCAGGATGGGTGTAGCGCTCACACCCATAATCCCAGCAGCTCTCACACCCATAGTCCCAGTGGATCTTGAGTTAATCACAAACTCTAGAAGTCCACCCCATGACTGCCTGAGGCTTTGGGGGAACAACTAGACACAAACCATAACAGGTGGGTAGCAGATTGAAGCCGTACCCTCTTCATAGTCTTCCAGTACTGTCACAAGAGTGTAGCCCATGACCAAGTTTCCCAAGGCCTGCACTCTGAAGACAACCACATCCACATTGGGCTCATGCTTGGACACAGGATCTTGGGTTGACAGTCCCTGCCATTCTGGGTGCCCTGAGTCTTGACTTTGTAAGGACTCAGGAGACTCAGTGCTCCCTTAGGGGCTTGTGCCTTCTGACCTGCCATTTAGGAAGCCAAATGCCAGTGCCTTTGCCGGAAGGAAGAGCCTAGGACATGCTGGCACAGTTCTTGATGGTTGTAGTCCTTAACTTTTAGGAAGTTTATGTTCATGAGTGTCTTAGTTACTTTTCTCTTGTTGCTGGGACACATATCTGACACCCACAATGAAGGAAGACAAGGTTTATTTAGCTCACAGTTACTGGAGGTTTCAGCCCATATTCAGCTGGCTCCAAGGCAGAGCAGCACATGGCAGAGGGCAGCCATTCGTGGCAGTGGCAGCAAAGAGCAAGAGCACAAGGGAGAGGTAGCAGCCGCTCAAGCAGCTGGCTTCTCTTCCCACCTTACGTTGTAATGCAAATTACCTGCCCCAGGGCAGGTGCAGCATCCACACCCACAGTAATCAATCACAAACTCCAGAAGCCGCCTCAAGACTGCTTGAGGCTCTGGGGGGACACCTATACACAAACCATAACAATGAGTAATTAAGCAAAACCATGATCAAAAAGGTTGTAAAAAGTTGATGATTCACTCAGGTAGGTGGTCAGTTGTTGCTTAATGCCAGAGAAGAGAAAGCATGGAGGCAGTGGAAAGGGGGAAGACAGACGGCTTGTATTTGCTTCAAAATTCAAACATGAAACCTGCATTATGTTATTGGTGTGTTAGGTTTAAGACAGTGAGCTCCTAAGTGCATCTTCTCACTTCGTGCATTTTCTGAAAGAGTGAAGGACAGTTTGGGCTTCCGAAGGGGCTGAGAGCCACCAGGAGAGGCAAGACAAGAAAAATTTTATGGGGGACACATTTAATTCAGTGAAATAAGTAGGCAGTTAGGAATAAGAGCACCAGGCTAGTGATTGCCCAGACTGATGGGAGAGCTGCAGTTGTGGCCTTCACCATGAGAAATGGAAAATCTCAAGGGCACAGACTTCACGCTTAGAAGGCACAGAACCGTGCACAGAGATTTCAGGCACCCTAGAAGGGCCCAATAAAGAAGTGCTCACTGTGGGCCCGGAGAGTGGAAGGGGAACTTTGTGTAGGGCAGGTGCTCAGACACGAAGCTGAGATTTGGAGTGGGGCCTTCTGCAGAGGAGGAGAGGAAGGACCCCATCAACTGTCTACCACGTTCAGCGAGTTTGTTCTCCAAGGAATTGAGGGTACACTTGGAATCGGGAGCCTTACACTGCCCCTCACCCCCGTGTTCCCTCATTCTTGGAACCCTCCCCATCCTTTCTTTCTTTTTTTTTTTTTTTTGGTACTGGGAATCAAACTAAGGACCTTACTCTTCAGGCAGGGGCTGTGCCACTGAGTTTTTTTTTTTTTCCCCCGGAACCGGGGATTGAACTCAGGCCCTTGCGCTTTTCAGGGAAGCACTTATTCCACTGAGCCATCTCCCCGGCTCCCCATCTTTTCAGAGAGCTAATGTACATTCACTGATCCTTTGTATTATTTTTTAAATCTCAATTTCATTCATTTCTACTCTGGTTTTTATTACTTTTTTTCTATTAGTCTCAGATTTGGATTATTGTTTTTCAAGAACCTTGAGACACATCATTAGACTGTTTATTTGGGATTGCTCTATTCTGTTTAAATGTGCATTCACAAAAGGCATTCTTAAGAACAAAGGGCTAGGTGTGGTGGCACCTGCCTATAATCCCAATGCGGGGGAGGCTGACACAAGGCAACTGCCATGAGTTTGAGGCCAGTTTAAACTGCACAAAGAGACTGTCTCAAAACCTAAGCAAACAAATCGCTTCCCCCCACCAAAAAAAAAAAAAAAACAAAAAAAAAAAACAAGACAAAACCAAGGGGACAGATTTAGAGACAGAGTGCAGGACTTCTGTGTCAGCCACAAAACTGTCATGTGCTATAACCTCTTGTGTGGTACAGGCCTGGCACGTGGTAGGAGCCCAGTAAATGTTTCATTGCAGATGAGCTCTGCTTGAACAGACCATTGGCTGGGGCTTGGGCAGATGTTAGCATCTTCTGACAGCACTGTCCTCTGGACAGCTGTTGTCAGGTGCTGCAGGATGCCATGGTGCTTCAGGACTTCTGCTTTCATTTTCCTTTCATCCAGAGTAAAATAAAGAAGCGATCCTGGGTGCTCCACGAGTGTTTGGAGCGAGTTCCTGAAAACGTGGAGGCAGCCCGTGAGTTGCTGCAGTACGGCTTAAAAGGCACTGATTTGGAGGCGTTGCTGTCCCTGGGGAGTGGCTTGGATAGCGGCAGGTAGGTGACAGGCTGTAGCCAAGAGGCCAGTGAGGGTGCTTGTGAGCTTCAAGCTGGGACACAGCCTTTTGAGATCTTAGGGAACAGATTTCTTCCCTTTCTGCTTTGAGTGTTTGCATACAGACTGGGCGCTGGGGAGACAGGTTCTGCCCTCATTGGGGGAAGTGGGGTAGTTTTATATCTGGGCTTAGGGTACTAAACAGACATATCCTGTTGCCATGGATGCCACAGGTTGGCCTGTGTTCTGTCTCTCTTGGAGGTGCTCAGTGATTTAGTCGTATGTCCTACAAAAGCACCTCTGAGCAGCAGTACCTCCTGTGGCTGTTGGTGATAGTAGTGGTAGTACAACGATCCAAAGAGAGCCAGCCTGGCAGCAGCAGTCCTGAATGTCAGCAGCCACGAATGGCTTCTGGAAGGCCAACATCTGCCAGCATTTTAGTATTGTAAATGGAAACGATTGAATTGTGAGCTCTGTGGGCAGCACTTTCCACTCTGCTGTCATATATTGGTTGATGACAACCCCTTGTGTTTTCCTTAATAGTTGCATTTTCTTGATTTACAAGTCATTATGGGTGACTTTTTCCTATCTATACTGTGGATTTAATGATGGCTCATTTTTGCATACAATAGGAAAAAAACTTTAAATGATTAGCTAGAAATTCATTTAACTGTTAGTTTTACAATTAGCTCGTAAAAAATTAGCTAGAAAGTTAGCATTTAATCAGCCAAAATAGGAGAAAGCAACTTTTCATGAAATTAAAAAACAGCAGAGCAGATTTGAGTTTTCTTTTACTGTCGCAGATTTACCTTGCCTGGTGACGTGGACATTGACGCCATGTCCTATGAGGAGCTGTCGCCCCGTGAGGAGGGCCCTGCCTGGAAGCGAAAGGAGAAGGTGCTCCGGGAGAGATCTAAACTACTTAAACTCGTGAACTTCTCTGAGTAAGCAATCTGTCCCAGCTAATTTGGCAATTTCCCTAACATGATTCGTGGTTTATGTGACTGGCTTCAGAACCTAAAATGCGTGCAGTATTGTTTTACGCTGGTGTCTCTGTCCTCCGAAGACTTGTGGGCTCTGAGGACTAGTAACCGTTTTTCCTCTGATTTAACCCCTAGAGAAATGTACTTCTCTGTAAATGTAAGTGGCCTAATACAGGTTATTCAACAGGTTGAACCTGGAACAGAAGGAGCTTTGCCGGTGTAGACTGAAATTACTGACTTACTTAGATCGACTTGCAACATACAAGGTGAGGAGTGGTTTTAACCAAAAGCACTTTTATTTGGTCTGTTATCATGAATGCTGTGGCTGCTCTAATATCTTTTGTTTTGGTCTTTAATGCTGTTTACATGGGAAAAATTAATTTTTTACAAAAACAAGTTCTCTTGGTACTAATTATAAAAATTTGAGATTGAAATGCCAGAAGTTATTTTGTAAGGTTAGGGATTAAAAAGGCTTTAGCTATTGAAGTGCATCTATATTCTTAGACTTTTAATTCTTTCCATTTTTTTGGTTTTTTTTTTTTGAGACAGGTTCTTACCATGCAGTTCAGCCTGGCCTTGAGCTCACTTTGTAGCCCAGGCTGGTCTTGAACTCACAACAATCTTCCTGCCTCAGCTTCCTAAGTGCAGGGATGACAGAATGCGCCATCATGCCCCATTTGCCTTTCTTTCTTATTTTTTACTTTAAGTTATTAGCACCCCGATGTCTCCAGTACTAACTTTGTACACAGTGGGTTTAGTAGTCTTCCCTGATAGTTTTACATGTTCTGTCCCATGGCTGAGCGCAAGCTAGGCTTTCAGATGATGATGTAGCTGGGGAAGGAGGACACCAGCGGTCTGGAAAATCTGAAAGCATTGTGCGGGAGTTTGTAAAACAGACTGAAGGCCCTTTCGCCTTGTGACCTGCATCGGTGGCAGATCCGCGGGGAGATCGCGGCGACCCCGGAAGCCGAAGATGAACTGGGACATGAACTCGGGCGCTTGCACTTGCTAGGGAAGCGCTTATTCCATTGAGCCATCTCCCCAGCCCTTGTTGCCCTACTCTTCTGGGAATGGTAACATGTACTCTGAGCAATCATGTGTTGGAAGTTTGCAACTTTGTTTTCTTTTCACAAGGACTCAGGCCTAAGAGCTGCCTTCAGTCCAGAGACTGCACTTGGACTTGAGCAGGCTGAAGCTGGAACTGTTGACATTCAGAGACATGGCCATTGATTTCTCTCTGGAGGAATGGGAAGACCTGGACTCTGCTCAGCAGAATTTGTGTAGGGATGTGATGTTAGAGACCTATGGAAATCTGGTCTCCCTGGGTCTTGCTGACTCTAAGCCATACATGATCACCTGTCTGGAGCAAAGCAGAGAGCCTTGGAATGTAAAGAAACAAGACTCAGTAGTAATCCATCCAGCTGTGTCTTTTCACTTTGCCCAAGATATTTCATTAGAAGTGGGTATAAAACATTCATTCCAAACTATGACAAAGGGAAGATACAGTATTTGTGGCCATGACAGCTTACACTTAAAAAAAGAATGGGAAAGTGTAGATACTGAGTGTGAAGGTCAGAATGCAAGTTAGAATGGATGTAACAAATTTGTTACAACTAAAGAAAGCAAAGACTTCACTGCCAGCAGAGATCAACAACATATGCTATCTCCAAAAACACCTGAATTTATGCCTGCTGCTTTAAAAGACCCTTGTGTTTTTGTAAGTAAACATTCACATCAAATTTTGAAACATGCCTTTTCCCTCAAAGGAAATTTGGAAAATCTAAGTATGAGACCATCTCATGCTTCAATTGATCAATTGAAAAATTTTAAATGTAGGATTGGATTAAATTTTCAAGCATTTGTTTTAGTGAACAATAGCTTTAAAGGTGAAGAACAAAATCTTAAATTTAATCAATTTAGTTCATTTATGAAAAGTTTGTTATTCTGCAATCAAAAAAAGGTCTTCCCTATACCAAGTTATACAATTTTCATAAATATGGAAAATTATTTACCCATCCATTACTGCATAATCAAACCCCAGTTATAGACATCTATAAATGTATGGAATGTGGCAAAGCTTTCAACTGTTCTTCAAACCTAACTTTACATAAGAGAATTCACAGTGGAGAGAACCCCTACAAATGTAGAGAATGTGGCAATGCCTTTAATAATCGTTCAGACCTTACTCAACATCGGACAAGTCATAACGGAGAGAAGCCATTCAAATGTGAAGAATGTGGCAAATCCTTTAAGTGTTGTTCACACCTTACTTGACATCAAAAAATTCATAGTGGAGAGAAGCCATACAAATGTGAAGAATGTGGCAAAGCATTTAATTGTTGTTCACACCTTACTCGACATCTGAGAATTCATACTGGGGAGAAACCCTACAGTTGTGAAGAGTGTGGCAAAGCCTTTAGACATGGTTCAAATCTTACTCAGCATCAGAGAATTCACACAGGTGAGAAGCCGTACAAATGTAAAGAGTGTGGCAGAACCTTTACCCACTGCTCAACTCTCAATCAACACCAGAGAATTCATAGTAGAGAGAACACTTACATATGTGAAGAATGTGGTAGAGCCTTTAATACATTCTCAAGCCTTTCTATACATCATAGAATTCATACTGGAGAAAAACCTTACAAGTGCCAGGATTGTGGCAAAGCCTTTAACTTTCGATCTGACCTTAATAGACATCTCAGAAATCATAATAGAGAGAAAGTACACAAATGTAAAGATTTTGGCAAAACCTTTAGTAACTGTCCAAATCTTACAAAGCACCAGAGAATGCAACTGGGTGAGAAGCCCTACAAATGTAAAGAGTGTGGAAAAGTTTTTAAATATTTTTCACACCTTACTCGGCACCACAGAGTCCACAGTGGAGAAAAACCATACAAATGTAAAGAATGTGGCAAAGCCTTTAATGAAAAGTCGAAGCTTTTTCAACACCAGAGAATTCACACAGGTGAGAACCCTTACAAATGTGTGCATTGTGGTAAAGGGTTTAATAATTGTTCAAGCCTTACTCAGCACCAGAGAATTCATACTGGAGAGAAGCCCTACAAATGTAAAGAACGTGGCAAAGCCTTTAACAGTTGTTCTCATCTTACTCGACATAAGAAAATTCATGAAAGGGAGAAACTTTGCTAATGAAAGAGTATGAGTCTTTATGTGTGGCTCAAACCTTACTCAACACTAGATGGTACATACTGCATGGAATACTTACAAATGTAAAGATTTTGGGAAAGACTAGTAACTGCACAAACCTTACTCAACAGAAACTGGAGGGTTCTCTTAACTGGAGAGAATCCTAGAAATTAAACAATGTAGCAAGGCCTTTAGTAGGAATTCAGTCCTTACTCAGCATAATACACTTTAAATTTTAGAAACAGTATATATGCTGTGAATTTGGAAAACTACAAAAAATATGCAATTCAGAACCTAAAAATATTTTAGTAAGAAAAAACTTTTACAAATGTATAGATATCAGCAGAACTTGTATGTATGGTTATAATATATGTAAGATGATTGTCACTGGAGAGAAATTGTAAATATAGGAAATATTGCATAAACTAATTTGCCCAGAATTTACTAGACATCATTAGTTGATGTAGTAGGGATAAATTCTCATCATTGTCAGAAAATAATGTAGGTAATACTTCCCTGAAGGGTTATAAATTTAAATGAATTCATGGTTTTTAAATTGCTTCACTTTTGAAAACTAGATGAAGAGCAACTCTCAAATAGATAATTGTATTAGTGGAATATGACTGCTTCTTACAAGTTTTAAACTTTTTCCTAAAGAATATAGAGTAGATCTTAAAAATATTCTCATAATTTTATTTATTCATTTATTTGTGGTACTGGGGATTGAACACAACTTTTGCAACCAACTATATCTGTGACTTGACTTGGAGGCAGGATTTCACTAAATTGCTAACTTGGCAAGGCTGTAATTTTGATCATCTTGCCTCGGCTCCTGAGTTTAACAGGATAATAGCTGGGCTTATTCCTGTAAGTTTTATTTTTATTTATTTCTCATACTTGTAATTACTGGGAAACTAATAGTTAAAGGGGTATAATAGTAAGCCTTAGTTTTTTTTTTTAATCTGAATTGCAGTTTATAAAACTTTATAATTGTTTTCCACATATTACCTACAAAGCATAGAAAAACTTTGGTATTCATTTACATTAACTGAAATGTAAAAACATTACAATCTGTTGGTAAGTTTTATATGTAATACAACTATAGAAATTCTAATTGTTGATGTAAACTTGTATGTTTGTCTATTGAAAAGGGGAGTATTAATACAAAAAATTATTCCAATTGTTATTTTACTACAAAACCAAAAATCTCACATGTTATGGAAAACCTGTGTTGTTTATGCTGAGCTCACTTATTTAAAATGCTATGTTATATTTGACAGTTACTTGTGCAAGATGTAGTGTAGCTTACTTGGTGAAATTTTGTCCCATTTAGGATTTTAAGTATGATTTTTATAATATTTAATGGTGTTCAGAAGTTAATTTGAAAATTAAATTCTCAATGAATATATTAAGTTAATTTTTATTTGATTGGCATAACTCCACTTATTCTATCTCAAAAAGCATATTTTAACTCATTTTTAATGTACTTCTTTTGATAAGTTACATCGTATAATTTAATGAATACCAAGATAATTTGTTCCAGTGAAAACTGGGGGATCTTAATAATTCATGGAATTATTTCAACATTTTCATAGAAAAAAGGAACAGAACAGAATAGGGAATATAAAGATTCTCCACAATTAGAAAATTATTAGTTATTACGAGTTTATTGATTGGTCTAAGAGAAGGAAATACCCATTGTGAATAAATGGTATTAATTTTCTATGTAAAAAGAAGACACTTATTCCAGTGCTACACAAATGATACTTTGTGAATTTAAGATTAGGATTTTTTTTTCTTTCCTAATCATATCCAGAATGTCATTGATTCTGAATTCATTTATGTTGTCTTGGTATAGTGTCCTCACTCCACATGCAGAATTCACATTTCTTCACACCTGATGCTTTTTCCTTGACATGAAGCAAGAATGTTTGAGGAAACCCCTATTGTTCTATGCTGTAGCTCCATTAATTTGCATATCCACAGCCAGCATATAGATCTTTCTACGTCAGCATCAACAGTTTTTGTGTTTTGCCTTATGCTAGTAGCTATCCTGTCTACACTTAAGTTGTATGTAATTAGGGTTTTCATGTGCATTTTTCTTGTGATATTGAGCAATTTTTGTGTGTTTTGAACATTTCTGTTTCCTTTTGAGAAATGCCTGTCTATATATTTTGACAATTTTAAATGGGATTTTGTTTTTATTTTTTGTCATTGAAAGTATTTGTACTTTGATACAGCTAATAATGCTATTAGGATGAATAAATAATGTAGTTAGAGTAAAAAAAAAACAAAAAAAAACTTTTCATAATCATATTTTTTATTCTCCAACTTTCCACTTCTGCCTTTTCTTTCACTTATTTTAAAGTGGATCCCAGAAAGCCTGTAATTTTACCCATGATCACTTGAGTATATATCTCTAACTCTTTGGGAGGTGTAATCTGGAGAAACAGTTCTAGGTGTGGATTTGAGTTTTGTCTCAAATGTATTAGTGTTTTTTAAAAAATCTTTTTATAGTAAAATCTTGGAAGCATTCTTTTATTTATTTTTAATTTTTAAATTTTTTCATTTGTGTATTTGGTACAGGGTCTCACTACGCAGCTCAGACTCGTAGGGATCCTCCTGTTTTCAGCCTTTGCAGTGCTGGGATTACAGGCGAGTGCCACCATGCCTGGACTCAGTCACTGGCTCAATGCACCCTGGGGGCAAGGCCAGCATGACATGTGGGACTGGGGATGGAACTCTGGTCCCTGTGCTTGCCAAAGCAGGTGCTTAGTCTGCTGAGCTATCTCGCCTGCCCCAAGCATTCTTCAGTGTATAGATAACAACCTGATAGCCTCTGATGTACTCCTTCTCAGCTTGAACCTTTTCATAATCATATTTTTTATTCTCCAACTTTCCACTTCTGCCTTTTCTTTCACTTATTTTAAAGTGGATCCCAGAAAGCCTGTAATTTTACC